TGAAACAAATCAAACAACACTGATGCCAAACTATCAGTTGCCAAATTGAGCTGAATCCTCTTTTTTCCCTCCTTGATCTGATTTTCCTATTTCAAAGCTGCCGTGCTTTTATCCAGCACACACTGGGGGAAACACTGAAAATGAAGGTTTGCTGCTGCTGCTCTGGTAAGCCTGCTATCAAAACAAACTCTCGCCGGTTTCTGCCTCTATCAAAACAAAGTCTGTCCCCTTTCTTTCCCTTCTGGTTGGCAACACACTGCAGCAGCAGTAGTGGAAAAAACTACGTCGCAGGCAAAACGTACTTTTCCTCTTTCAAACAAAAAAAACAGCAACAGCAGTGTCTAGACAGTCAGAGAGCTTGTGATCATTCTTGTTGTTACAATCTGGTTCATTAGTAGCTGAAATCGAGTTTCCGTCAGCCACTTTGTTTTCATTTTTCACCTTTCACAGACACTTGTTGATGTTACTGACTGAAACCTGCTAATGAACGGCACAGTGGCCGTACAGTAGCTCGCAGGAGCTTAATGAGCGCGAGAAAGGGGAAAAAATTGTTGTTGTTGGTTAGCATCTGTTGATGTTGATGCTGATGATACTTTGGGCTGGATGGAATTCAACTGTTGGTCCCAAGGTGGTGGCTACTGGTTGTCATTAGTTGGTTCATTAGTAAAAAATCAATTAATAGCTAATGAGCAACTGAACGACTGGCAAGGGCAGACACTACTGAAGACATGGCATTTTTTGTGTTACCAACGGCTAGAGCTTAAGCTGTACTAATAAATTTTTAAATGGTTAGGTTTGCGTCAAGATTGTTTTTTAAACAAACAGAACTCATTGTATCAGTTTACTAAATGGCGACCAAATTTAGAGTACTAACTAAATAACGTTTAAATTAATAACTTTTTTAATGTTTTACAAAACTAACTCATTTTTAAATTATTTAAATTCATTTTGTTTTGTAAAATGTCAAAATTGTATAACAATGTAAAAATTATTGATTATTTGCCAAAATTTACTGCGCTCACTTTGCAAAAAAGGCAAAATTTGTTTACTAATTGTCTTTGACAGTGAGTTCACTTCTAATTAAACTATTAAGCAATAAATAATGTTAAAAATCTGCTCCTTTTAAAAACCTATACCATTCTTGAGCAAAACAGTAAAGACCAATTTCAGCAGAAAAAGGGAAACGACAGGAAAACTCATCAAACCACACATTTTTTAACTTACATTGCAGCAATTAATCAATACTTTTGAATATTTAACTTTTGACAAAAAACAGTACTTCACTTAACTAGAGTTTTGTAGGATACATAGTAAATGTCTACCTTAAGTAAAAAATAAATAAATTTTATTTTTAAAAACCTGGATATTTACGCTCAAAAGTTTATATTCAGTTTGCTGAAACAAATCATTCCTTTTTGTTGTCAGTAAATAATATCTAGTTTCAGTTCGAGTATCTTTTATTCCTTTAAATTAATGCCCTCAAACTTAATTAGCAACAAAAGTAATCAACCTGACCATGTCCTTCTCACCCATCGAGTCGCTGTACAGCAAAACGGAGAAGCTGTACCGGCGAGAGCACAACAGTACGCTGGTCAAGGTGTACCACGCCTCGATGCTGTACCTCTTCAGTCGAGTCCTGGTGGTGTACCACTTTCTCAAGGTGGAGAGATCATCCCAAGCCGAGTGGTACCGCCTCCACTACGACCACCTCTGTACGGTCCTCTTCAACAGCGGCCTCACCCAGCGAGACCTCTTTCTGGCCATCTCGCCGATGGTCCTCTTCTTCGGCTTCGCCTTCAACCAGGTGCTGACGGGCATCAGCGACGGCCGCCTCTGGCGGGCAATTCACTACGTCGTCCAGGAGACGGTGGGCGACTTCTTCGCCGCCAACTCGGACGTTAAAGTACTTCGAAGCGTGCACCTGTGCAATTTGCACCGGAAGGTTTTCCGGGAGCTGTTTGGCCTGCTTCACCTGCTCATCAGGCGGCCGCATCAGGTGAAGTTTTCACGCCAGCACGTCAAAAGCCGTGACCAAACACAGCAGGTTTTGACGCCCTTTCAGGCCGTTTCTAGAAGGCTGAAGTGTCAAATAGTGCGCTTCTGGGTCGGCCTTGAGGTGGCCACGCAGTTGCTGTATTTTTCCAGTGAGTTTTTTGTTTGTTTGTTTGTTTGTACTTTTAAAAATATTTTTAACTTTTAACTTTTTTTTTGTTTTTTGTCGTCTAGTTTACACTTGCATCATTTGCATTATCCTCCTCTTCGACAGTGCCCCCTTCACCCCGGTGAACAGCCTCATCCTCTTCATTGACTTCTTCTTCGGCATCTTCTGCCTCTCAATCGGCTTCAAGTACCTCCTACTGCTCATTGCGCTGATCGTCCTCCTGGCCACCACGCTGATTACCGAGTTTAGGGAAATCAATCGGCGGCTGACCTTTGCCATTCATTGCATTGTGCATCATCGACGGCGGCGGCGGCGGCGGCAAAAGTCTTCGCTGCTGCTGCCTCAACTTCTTCTTCAGCAGCTGGAGCGTTTCCGCCTGGAGCACAGCCACCTGCTCGTCTACCTGAAGCCGTTCAACGAGCAGGTAGTGTCCCCCTTCTACTTTGCCTACGTCCTCGGAAACGTCGCCTTCAACGCCTACTGCCTCGTCTACGTGGTGTACTTCCAGGTGCAGCCGCTGATGCGCAACTTTGGCATTGGTGTACTGCTCTTTCAAAGCCTCGTTCCCTTTGCCTGCTCGCTGATTCTTCTGGTACTTAATCTGTCAGTTAGGCAGTCGCTAAGGACGGTAGAGTCGACGCTGTTTGGGCTGTCATTTTTTGCTGAACGACCGCAAAAGAAAAAAAGGAGTTATCAGAAGTGTCTGCGCAGCTACTGGAAGTTGCTGGTCTACGTGGAGTTTCTCAAGCCAAAGCACCTCAAGTTTTACTCAATGACCGCCGGGCCGATGGGCCCGATTAACAGTCAGTCGCTGGTGCAGGTAAAAACAAAAATTTGCTAAATTTTTTTTTGTTGAAAAATAATTTTATTTAATTGCCATGTTTTTCTCCCCTATCAGTTTATCCTCATCTATTTTGGTTTTCTAATGTTTTTTGGCTCCAAGTTTATTAAAAAAGAGTAAAAGAATCTTTATTTAAAACAATTTATTTCATTGAACTTTTTTTACCACAAATGTTTTGCTAATTAGACTAAGCGTTCTAACTGACACATTGCCATTTTTTCAAATGCATTCGACACTGGTTGTGCACCAGCAGCAGCAGCAGCAGCTATTCAGTCAGATGCCCACCACTGTCACTTGTTTGTTGTTAGTAACAAAAATATGTATTTCGGCTGTTGCACTTGCCAACTGTGGACAGACTGATTGCGTCTGGCAGCTAATGATGCTAATGATGCTCACTACTGCGACATTGTTTTCTTTTTCTAACCCTCATTGAATGCGCACTGTGTGGCAGGAAACTGTTGCCTGTGATGTTTGAGAAGTGAATCATTACCACCACCACCAGTTGATTTGCATGAGTGGCATTCAGGCTACCAAAACTTTAAGCAGTGATATCTTTTCATCAAAAAGAAAAAAATCACTTCAAACTGCGACACTGTTTCTTTCAATTTAATTTTCGGCAATATTTTTTGCCTGAAATTGTTTTGAATGATTTAAAGTTGTGTGTTCAGCCTTTCATCACAGAATTCTTTTAGTGTATCACCAATGTTTTTCAGCCCTTTAATTTCACTCTCCTACAAACCCACAGCAAACACCTTCTCCTCTCCGGTACAAACCACAACTTTATTCCTAAAAATTTTGACGTTTTTGAGTTGATGTCACTGGGACCGGTATGAAAACTTTGGCTATTTCTGATGCAAAACTAAATTTTCTTTCATGTTACTCTCATAGTAACTGTTCCCGCATTTTAAAATTTGAAGCATATCATCTTTTGATTGCGGAAATCTTTTTACTAGAGAGGAATAAAGGATGGCTGTAAAAGACATGAAAGTGCATTGATTGCCTGGAAATTGAGCATCGTTCAAGTTAACTTGATGAAGGTCACTGAACACAACTGCATTGAAGTTGTTTTCAGTGTGCTGATTGGCTGACTGTAGAGAATGGGCATTCGTGAAACATGACCTAGACACTACATCTGCAGCCTTATTTCAAGATCACAGTAGTGATCTGTGATAGCAAAAATGACTACCGCAACAGCAGCTGCTCCTTCCTCTGAGCACTCTCTAGTTCCAGCACATTTTTGCTTTTAAATTTATTTTAAAAAAGCAAACAGTGTCAGAAGTGTACAGCGAGCTGTTTTGTTGCTGATATTGCTTGATCGGCCATTTGCATTTGGCTAACATACGGGGCAACAGAATTGGCAACATATGTCTTGGTCGTGTTCCGAGATTGCTGATTTCTCAAGTGCGTAGTACTTTTCTCGAATTTTGAATAACAGCAACATTGCAATAGTGTGATCTAGTATGATGATTATGGAGATCACCATCTCATCATCATCTTTGTAAGAGATGGAGATGGATGATGATCACCATCACGGTGAAGTTGATGAATTTCAAAAGTCAGCGTAAGTAGAAATTTGCCAAAAATTAGGCAAAAAAGATATTATGATCGACAGTATCAACGACTTGTTCATTTTCATCGTTAAAAAATTAACTGCTAAAAAATTGCTGTTAATGATTAACGATAAAAGTGGTGAAGTAGCTGCTGCACTGTGCCGCACTGGTGATTGATTTACAAAATGAAAAAGAGGAAGATGAAGTTAATCGACTAGGAGAGAAAAGTTTGACTGCTACCACCAAAAACGAGCCCACCACAAAATTTTGTTTTGACTTTCTCTTTTTGTAGCCCGCGATCTACAGTGTACGACAGGAAATTTAACTTTCCAAACCGGCAAACGTTTTGACAACAAAGTTTTCACTTTCGAGTGGCACTGAAAATCTTTTTTATTAAACTACAGTGGTCAGATTTTCACCATCATCACCATCATCATTATCATTATCCTCAGAGCAAAGGCCAGGCAATCTCCGAGTTGATGCCGCACATGTTCTTCCCTCGAACTACCCGAAAGTAACCGCCCTCCCCCCAGCGCTCCGACCAGGAGTTCCGCACAATCCAACTCTGCTCGTCGTAGCCGACCAACGTCACGGCGTGGTTTATCACCGTCGAACAGTTCTGAATCTCCAGCACTCCACTACTGTACAGCTGAAACTCCCGTTCAGTTCGAATGAGAGCGTACAGGGGACCATTTGAGACTAGAGCGTCTTGAATTTGGACGTCAGAGAGCGATTCGGCGGCCTCCACCGGACGGCCGTAGCGGTACTTGCTGCGCACGCAAAAGTCGGCGATTTTCTCCTTATCAGCAGCAGCAGCAGCAGCCTTATCATCTCGGCACGGGTCTTCGCCGTTTCCGGTGTACGGCTCCTTAGCTTCGGGAGTAGCGCCCACCTCTTTGAGGTAGTTGAAGGCAAACACCGACTGGCCGCCCCGGCAGCCGCTGCCGCTGATGTTGGCGTACGCCTTGGCGCAGTTGATCAGCCGCTGCTCGCTGAAGTCCACCTTGGAAATGTCAACTGCCTTCTTTTCATTTTTAAGTTTGATCGCCTTCGCCGACTCGAGGACGGCCACGGTGCTGAAGGCGTAGCAGCCGCCGCAATCGCCCTGATTCTTTACGCTGCTGACCACATTCGACTGGCGCCAGTCAAATTTGGCGGGCAGTTTTAGCTCCTCAATTTTGGAGGTTTTGTCACTCCTCAGCTGACATTCAGCGTCCAGTTTGCTGAGTCGAGCTTCAGCTTGAATTGTGGGGGCAGTTTTAGTAGGTAGGGAAAACAAGTTGGGCTTTGGCGGATCAAGTTCCATTGGCGGAGTAGTGCCGCTTGACAGCTTTAAAAATTCCGCCATTGCCAGGTCGGAAAAGTGGTTCAGTGCCATTTTGAAGGAAGTTTTAGCTGGAGTTAAGTGTGTCGGCTGTTGTAGCGTTGGAAATGTTGGAACATTTGGGAAACAGTGATTGAAAATAATTCTTATTGACTCAAACAGGCTGGTAACGCTGGCCGTGGTTGGCTTTTTGTCCGGAAATGCGCTCTAAAGTTGATTAAGATAAAAATTTTTAAAGAACATATTTTAAAATCATTTAATTATCACTTACGTAATAAATTGTTACAATTTTGCTAAATTCGAGTTTAGAATCAAAAGGATTGGCCAGTTTAAAGTGATTTCCGACAACTGCGTTATAACAGTTTTCTAGCAGTTTATCTGTAAAGTTGAGATTAAATAAAAGCAACTCGCCCATTGGCTTGTTGAGTGGGCCAAGAAGTGTGGCAAAATCAAGTAAAATTATGTCCGTTATAACATTGGCAGTTTCTGGGCAGCCACTATTAAGAGCAATTGTGTTAGCATTAATGCAAATATACAAAAAGAAAAATAACAACACAAAACTTAATTTTGTGTACAAAGCCATTATTGAAAGTTTTAAAGTAGAAAACCAAGCAGAAAATTATTTAACATTATTTTGCTTGTAGCCGTCTAGACGCAAATGCTAAAACTTGTATTTGAGTAATTGGCAAAACGGCCGTGTGTCACATTTTAAACTTTAAAAACATTTTGTTGTCATTTTTATCTAAACTGTGCTGCTACAAACGCAAAAGTTCAAATAATTCGAATAAAACAGGTACTTTTTTCTTTTTAAAATAATTTTATAAATGTTGAAGTAGCGTCGTTGTAGTGCAATATGTCATTTTCGGCCATAAAAGCGGCTATAAAAATGTACTCTCGATTGAGCGCTTCCTCGTTGTGTAATGACCAGAGTCATTTTTGATTGACAAAAGTTATAACTTTGCAATGGCCTTTGAACAAAAGGGTGACTTTTGCCCAAACATCACGTTTTCATAAACTTCCGTTGATCTTGCTCGATCGATTTGAGCATTTAGATTGTGTTCAGCTGAAAATCACTCTCATTTCTCTTCAGCATTTGGTCACCAACGGTCATTTTCGCCTTCCCTGCTCCAAAATGAAGCTTTTCTTCATTCTCACTTTCCTTTTAATTTCGGCATTGGCTCTCGCTTATGAGCCACCGCCCATACCTAGTAATTGTACCATCCAAATGAGTTTTAAAGAAATTCTCGGAAATATTTATCTTTATAAATACTTTATCTACGAGTCTGTCCTCGCCTCTTCACTTCAAGTAAAAGTGTCGCTGTTTTTCTAGATCAATCGGAAAAGTGAAAATTGAAACGAACCAATTTCTAACTGAACCAGGAAAACAGTGACATTCTAGAGGAGAAGAGAAGAGGACTGATTGGAAGATGAAGGCCATTGCAAGGTTATAACTTTTGTCCAAAGAAAACAGCGCTGATCATCACTTAGCGGAAGAGCACTCAAGCAAGAATACATTTTCATAGCCGATTTCATTTTTGAGAGTGACATATGTGTATGTGTATTCCTCCAGATTCTCTATCTCAATGCACTCCAGTGTGTCCAAGTAGTGATCGTGGGCCGGGTCAATGGGATTCGCCAAGTTAACCACTCCAGTGTCAACTGAGGGGTCTGCTGTTTGCGAAGTTTCAGGTTTCACAAAGTGGTAACGCTTCCATTGAAGTCGTAGGGCCAGGGCAGAAGAGACCAGAAAGGCGAAAGCGAAGGCTGTTGTTGAACCCAGAAGAAGTTTGATGAGAAGGTCGTACGACTCCTCCTGAAGAACCAGTTTTGCCCGACACTCCTTCAGAGGGATAAACAAAGAGGCCGAGGCTGTAGATGTGCAGTTACACACCTTGCACGGTTCACAAGCCGGACAGTTGGGACGTTTGACATTGGACGGGCATACTGGGCATGGTTTCGTTGCGGGAGTTGGAAATTTGAAGGCGCTCAAGGGAATATTTCCAATAATTCCCTTTGAGTTAACTTGAATGGTACAGTTGTTGGGAATTGGAGGTGGTTCATAGGCAAAAGTCGATGCCAGGATTGGAAAGAAAGCGAGAATAAAGAGAAGTTTCATTTTAATGTAAAGAAGGCAAAGATGACCGTTGATGGCCAAATGCTGAAGAGAAATGAGAGTAATTTTCAGCTAGACACTATCTAAATGCTCAAATCGATCGAGCAAGATTAACGGAAGTTTATGAAAACGTGATGTTTGGGCAAAAGTCACCCTTTTGTTCAAATTCAAAAGTGAAGGAACAAAGAAAGGAAGGCAATTGGGAATTATTTATTGTCATTTCGAAAATGGTCAGAAAGGAAAGAGGGAAAGGATAAACAATAACAAAAGTGTGAAAGCATCATTAGCCAGCTTCAACATCTCGTTCATCTTCTTCATCAATAGAGGAGAACGAAACTGAACAAATGTGATCTTCGAGCTCGATATCACTCCATGTTGGTTGAGCATTTCCACTTTCAAAGGTGCCCTGTGCCTGTTGAGACTCTTGTTGTCTCAATTGTTGAGCACTTTTCCTGGCCATAATGGAGTTGTAGGTAGCTCTTAGGTTAGGAAGCTCAGAATTAAGCAAAGCTGAGTGAGAACGATACCTCTTGATGGCTAACACCAGGATCAGCAATACCACAACGATGATGACAGTGATAAGAGATGAAAGGCCAATCCGAACATCCGATCGGTAGACCAATGAGCCAAAAGAAAACTTGGTAGTCACTGCAGGAGAGATAGACTGCTTGGATGACACGTCAGTGGGTGTTGAAAGGGAAGTTGACACTAAAGTGGTCAAAACAAATGAACAATCATTAATTTGAAGAGATGTTTATGCCCTCCTCAAACACAAGTCCTGAAAAAAAAGAAAGTGAAAAAGTTTTTTAATAAATGCAAATATTATGTGTTTGTTGTTGGTAAACACTAGTGCATACATTATCTTCTACTTTTTAAAACCCAGTTTTTGTGAATTGTTTTGTTGTCAAATTGTTTTCGGTTAAAAGTGTGTCGTCACTTAAAGCAGTGACGCGTTTTCGCTGTTACTACTTGTAATTTTGAACTTTAAAAAAAGGGTTTTTGGCATATGTTAAAAACCACATTTTTTATTCACTTTTTGTATGTTTCTGCTTTTTTTGTTTTCCGTTTTCCAAACGCACAAATTTTTTTATTAAAACAATTAAAAAAATTTGTTATTGGCAATAATTGTCGTTAATCTACTTTCCTCTTTTTCTTAGTGCAACCACTTTTCCTTTGCATATTACCCCACTGGCAAAATATTTTTCTCCTTTCTTCTTGCATTTACTGGATTACTGTTTTCTGTTCTAATTCAATGCCCCTTTTACCTTCCTTACCTTTGACGCAAACACCATTTTTGCGCACCAATAGGCAGGAAAATTGTTGCACTGGAAGAGCAAAACAACAAGACAACAACAACAACAGCATCGCATGCAAAATTAGCTATTTACTGGAAACTAAGGAAAAAGAAAAAAACAGACATGCCCAGAGGTCTACTCATGGCTTGCGAAGGACAGTGGTAAATAAGTTAGCAAATAAAAAAGTAGTAGACCAAAAGAAAAGGAGAAAAAGAAAAAAAAGAGAAAAAGATGAACAGAGAAGGTATATATTGAGGGCAAACTATCTCATTTCGCCCTTTTGGCAGTTGCATAAACACCTAAGCGATTACACCACAATTAGCGCAGTTTACTCAACTTGATCGGCGATCTGCGATTTACTTCGTGATCATTAAATACTTCGTCGCAAACGCAACTTTTTTTCCATGGGAAGACGCAATCAAGTGCTGGCCAGTGGTGGTGGTGATGGTAGTCAAACAGCAGTGTCCTCTTTTTCTCTATCTTCAATGTCAGCATCATTATCATCATCAGCAGCAGTTGCAGATAAAAACCTCAAAGCAGATTTTTTAGATGAAGACCCTCTTTCATTATTACCAGAGACAAATGCCGAAGACCATGATGAAGTGCACCATCAAAAGACCGCTGCAACTAAAGACCATCATGAGGACAAACCGTACGAGGTTCAGTTGGTCTGGCGGAACATCTTCGCCCTGGGCATTCTCCACCTGATCACCCTGTACACGTTGACCATGGTGCCCTCGATGCACTACGCCACCATCTTCTGGGCGTATGCGGTCATCATTCTCGGCTCGATGGGCGTCCAGTCGGGGGCGCATCGGTACGACAAAAAATGACTAGTTTTTAATTTTAACTTAACTTTCTCAACTTTTCTCAATTTCAGACTCTGGGCCCACCGAAGCTACCAGGCCAACTTTCCCCTCCGCTTCCTTCTCTCCATGCTGCACGTGCTGTCGCTGCAGAACGACCTCTACGAGTGGGTCCGCGACCACCGGGTGCACCACAAGTGGTCGGACACTGACGCCGATCCGCACAACTCCTCGAGGGGCTTCTTCTTCAGTCATATGGTAAGAAGAAATGAAAAAAGTGAAAAAAAAATTTAAAAAATTTCACCATTTTAATGTTTGATTTTTCCCAATTTACAAACAGGGATGGCTGCTCGTCCGCAAACACCCCGAGGTAATTCGCAAGGGCCGCACCGTGGACCTGAGCGACCTGCTGGCGGATCCAATTGTGATGTTCCAACGGCGCTTCTACATTCCCCTGGTGCTGCTCATCTGGGCGTACCTGCCGGCGGCTACCGCCGTCCACGGTTGGGGCGAAAGCTGGAGCAACGCCCTCTGCGGCGTAGTGGTCTTCCGGTACGTCATCTCGCTGCACATCACCTGGCTGGTGAACAGCTGGGCACACTCCATCGGAAATCGACCCTATGATCGGAGCATCGCCCCGGTGGAGGCCTCCATCAGGCACTGGCTGATGGGAGAAGGTAAAATACTTCTGATTAAAATACTAAAAAGTACTTTTTTGAGTACTGAAAAACTAAACTTTTTGTCTTATCATTTTTTTGCTACTAGGCTTCCACAACTACCACCACACCTTTCCCTGGGACTACTCGGCCAGCGAGCTCGGCCCGGCGGACGTCTTCAACCCGGGCACCGCCTTCATTGAGTTTTTCCAGTGGCTCGGCTGGGCGTGGGACCTGAAGAAGGCCAGTCCGCGGCTGATTGCCGCCCGCCTGGGCAGCACCGGAAACCCCGAAGAGTACCTCGATGTGCGGCGGAAGCTGAACAGTAGGGCCGAATGGCTGGGTGGCCTCTTCACCATCACGCAGCCGCTGATGGCCATTCTTGCCATCAAGGTGGTCTTTAGCAATCAAAGTGTGTTGCAATTTTTTGGAAATACCAGTGCTACTAAGTAATGGTAAAAAGTTTATATCATTTGTCTGTTTAGAGAAATGTGGAAAATTTTCTAGTGTTGCTGCAGTCTTTTTTGCTACCAGTAACAAATTGCACCCCAATTTTTGGCAGTTTCAAATGTTATGCTAGTTGCGGATAAAATAAAAAATATTTTTAAAGCTAAGGAAAGTAGGCTTTTATTTAACGGTATTTTCCGCCGTTGTATGATCAATATTTTTTGTTTGTTATGGTTTCACAGTAAAATCAATACCACTTCATAATTGCGTTCATTAATTTTGCTGTGTATTTATTTAGCAAAATTTTGCTTGACAACGCTTCTTTCTTTAAGATTGGTAACTTTTTTTACTTTTTTGTTGTACAGGTATTTTTCTGCTTTCTCTTTTATTTAATGATTTTTTTACAGTAAAGTTTGAGTGCTTTAAATTAAGGTATTTTTCTGTGCGTCAAAAAAAGTTGCCAAAAAACAACAACAGCAATGAAGACATTTAGGTGCATAAACATTAGCGGCAAAGCAGGCAAAACTGGAATGCTCATTAAAAATGGGCAAATTTACCTGCCGCAATTTACATGTAAAACAATTCTGGTAGTTGTTAGAACACAGGAGACATCAAGTTTGTGCAAACGTTTGTTTTGTGCACGCATTTATTGCCTTTTTCACTTTAAAAAACATTATTGCTTTTCTCAATTCTTTTGCCAATGTTTTGTTCAGTTACAAAACAAACAAAAAACCCACAATTTACTTAATTTATTCCTCTTGCTTTTACTGCACTTACTGGCTGACAAATTAACATATTTTTCGACGCTTCATTTTACTCAAAATGTCTGGCACTCAAGAGAAACAGCCACTGCCAAAATCGGGCTCAAAGTCATCTTTTGATGATCGCAATTTCGACCTGAATGATCGAGATCCATTTTACTACCCGCCACCTTATCAAACGCCGGTCAACCGACCCCGAGGAAATGTTTCACCGCAGTTTTTGGCAAACTTTGCCGGCCCTCGACCACCAGGACTACCACAACCACCACTTCAGTTCAATCCTCGACTACCTGGGCCACCAGGACCACCACCACGACCATTTCAACCTCCCCAGCTTCGATCACCAGGCAGTCAGTTTGGTTTTCGACCTCCCCCAATTCGATCAACACAATCACTTCAACCTCGACCTTCATTTCGAACTCCTTCAAATCCTCGTCTTCAGTACTCTGCCGGAGCGACGATGCTTCACTCGCAAAACAGCCTGACCTTATCGTCTTCTTCCTCTTCAGCTGCCTCCAGCTACCCGACCAAACCAATGTCCTTGAATAGAAGTACTGGTAACTTTGGAGTTTCACGACCAGGACCAGGACCAGGAGGACGAGGGTCAGGTTATCCTCTAGTTTCTTCAGCTGCCTACACCACTTCCGGTGGTTATTCAACAAAGAAGCGAATGAGTATCATCTCCGGGCTAGTTCCCATCGAGTCAGTGGCAATGGCGAAGAAGTACGAACAGATGAAGGACAACTTCAAGCAGAAGGTGGTAGACAGTAAAGGAGGCAATGCCGGTGTTGCTGCTCTTGCTGGCGGTAGAAATGTCGCCAGTCAGATAAAAAAAGTACCGGAAGTACCGAAAAAGGCCCGTGGACTGTGGGGAACCTTCAAGGCGCAGCTGAAGAGGCAGATCAAGAAGCACCCGTACATTGCCGGCATTATCATTACCGTCTACGGTATTGTCATGTTTCTCAATCAGAACAACTTTATTCGAATGGGTACGTTTTTGTAGTAAAAAT